AAAGTAATGGAAACCATATTAAAGGATAGGGTTGTTGAACATCTAAAAACACATGGATTTTAAGATCAGAAACAACATGGGTTTACTTCAGGGAGATAATGCCAAACTAATCTTATTGATTTTTTTGATTGGGTAACTAAAATAGTAGATCAGGGTGGTGCAGTGGACATTGCTTACCTAGATTTCAGTAAGGCTTTTGACACTGTTGCTCATAGAAGGCTTATCAATAAATTGCAATCTTTAAGTTTGGATTCCAATATTGTTGAATGGGTAAGGCAGTGGCTAAGTGACAGGCAGCAGAGGGTTGTAGTCAATGGAGTATACTCGAAGCTTGGGCTTGTCACCAGTAAGGTACCTCAGGGATCTGTATTTGGACCCATTCTCTTTAATATTTTTATCAGTGATATTGCGGAAGGTCTTGATGGTAAGGTATGTCTTTTTGCTGATGATACTAAGATATGTAACAGGGTTGATGTTCCAGGAGGGATAAGCCAAATGGCAAATGATTTAGGTAAACTAGAAAAATGGTCAGTGTTGTGGCAACTGACATTTAATGTGGAAAAGTGCAAGATAATGCATCTTGGACGTAAAATCCCAAGGGCAGAGTACAGAATATTTGATAGAGTCCTAACCTCAACATCTGAGGAAAGGGATTTAGGGGTGATTATTTCTGATGACTTAGGTAGGCAGACAATGTAATAGAGCAGCAGGAAATGCTAGCATAATGCTTGGTTGTATAGGGAGAGGTATTAGCAGTAGAAAGAGGGAAGTGATCATGCCATTGTACAGAACACTGGTGAGACCTCACTTGGACTATTGTACGCAGTACTGGAGACAGTATCTCCAGAAGGATATTGATACTTTAGAGAGAGTTTAGAGAAGGGCTACTAAACTGGTTCATGGATTGCAGGATAAAACTTACCAGGAAAGGTTAAAGGATCTTAACATGTATAGCTTGGAGGAAAGACGAGACAGGGGGGATATGACAGAAACATTTAAATACATAAAGGGAATCAACACAGCAAAGGAGGAGACCATATTTAAAAGAAGAAAAAATACCACAACAAGAGGACATAATTTTAAATTAGAGGGAAAAAGGTTTAAAAATAATATCAGGAAGTATTACTTTACTGAGAGGGTAGTGGATGCATGGAATAGCCTTCCAGCTGAAGTGGTAGAGGTTAACACAGTAAAGGAGTTTAAGCATGCGTGGGATAGGCATAAGGCTATCCTAACTATAAGATAAGGCTAGGGACTAATGAAAGTATTTAGAAAATTGGGCAGACTAGATGGGCCGAATGGTTCTTATCTGCCGTCACATTCTATGTTTCTATGTTTCTATGTTTCTATGTTAGATCATTTCAGTGATATAAAGAATGTAAATTCTTTGTCCTCAAATTTCCAGGGCTGACAGTAGTGATGTGCCTCCCTCTAGGACAGGAAAAACATAAATTAAAGGTACATTCGAGCCCTTTAGCCTTTCATTCTTGTCATACAGCAAAAGGAAATTAGTATGTTTTCAAATCTAGGAAATGTCATTTTGTGTTACATCGCATTTTTTTACTTTATCAAATATGCTGCAGATAAACCTCTCTTTTCCTCGAAGCCTAAGTAACAGCTCCCAGCTAATGATGCCTCTGTGGGTACTTCACATATTTAAACAAAGGAAATCTTGCTCTTTCTAATTAACATCATGGGAAAAAAATAGCATTTTAGGAGAAAAGGAGAAAGACGTTTCCTATTCTATATCATACGAAAAAACTGCTTTGATTGCCATTCAGCATTACCCAGCAGTATTTGAATAAGTAAAAGACAATATATGGGATCCAAGATAAGCAAATAAATGAATAGCTCCAAAATACGAAATATGAACAGTACCTACCAACCACAAAAGGGTGCAAGGAATCCTGTTCCGCCAAAACCAGTATATTCAGGAAAGTATCAAAATAAATTGCAGCACTTCGTTTTGAAAGTCTCGCCCCTTTATTCAGGTGCCCAAAGTGTACAACAGCAACGTTCCAACTATCAAGCTTGATTGCGGCAGTTGAAACGTTGCTGTTGTACACTTTGGGTACCTGAATAAAGGGATGAGACTTTTAAAAGGAAGTGCTGGAATGCATTTTTATACTTTCCTGAAGCAAATAAATAAGGGAGCAATTTAAACATGCATTTAATCCATAATTAAAAGAATGGAACTTGGGGGACGGAGCTTGACTGCCATGCATACCAGATGTGTTCAGCAAGCGCTCCCATGTCTGGCTTCGATTATTGTGGGCTATTCCCAGTCCAGTAATTCTTACTGACCGCAGAGAGCATCCCTCTTGTTCACGGGACAACGCTGTACCTGAGGATCTCCTCCGCTTGCAATCTAAAGGTGTAGGAACCGAGGGGAGGTGGCCGCTCTCCTGGTTCATAGGCTGAAGGTGTGGTCCTCACTTGATGCTGTCCCCCCCCTTTGGATCGGTGGGGGTTATCCCGGTCCCCACTGACCCACTCTGCGTACCCAGACCAGCTGCAAGCAGATATCTTGGCGCAGGTCCTGAACATGGCAACAACCTTGAAGATGGCAGCCGTGCTTTCTGAGCATGAGCCCACATGGTCTGTACCAGCCCACCAGAGCACATTGGATCTTCTAACACAGGGCATCAACGCAACTTTCGACCGCTTCTGGGCAAACTGGAGGCTCATCTTCTGGCAGAGCCAGTTCTGAGCTGGAGAGATGAGCGGAGGGGTGATGAGCGGAGAGGGAGGAGGCCCCTTCCGGGCACTACTAACAAGCACCAGCTCGTATCTGCCCTCACTGGCCCACCTGAGCTGAGAGCCCTAAGGGATGTAATCTCTCAGCATCAACCACAGAGGCCGGAGCCCCATGCCAAAGGTGACAAAGAAACATCTGGAGCGTCTGCAATTCCCGTCCTGGGAAGGATTTGGACTCATGCATGAGCTCCCGAGTCCGTGGAACTGAGATGCAAGCTCTCATAATGGCCTGTGGCTGGAGGGAGGCCGAACTTTGCACCTGCTTGACACCGCTCCATACCTGTTTCCATAGGCTCCCGAGTACTGGAGTCGGTTGAGGCTGGACTTGACTTACAGCTACGCTCTGCATATTCCCATGCCATTAATTCTCTATGTGTGCATTCATTTAGCTTTGAGTTTTCACATTATTTTTCTTTTATATGAATAACTGATGTAGTGCAGCTGTAGCATGGATAATCTACACAGGGTTTACCTTAAGCTGTGCAGTATTGTTCTGGTGTGTGGCAAATCAGTGGTCTACATACCTTGTTTGGTTTTGCTTGATTTGCAGCACGTCTTTTATACATGTACAGTGATTTTAGCTTTATCTTTACAGTTATTCTACTAAATGCAGTGTCTCTTAGGCTTTTCCTGCCTAGATGAGTTAGTCTAGCATATGCCCTATACAGACAGTATTGTTCACTACTATCACGTCAGATGTTCCCAACCCACAGTTTGGACTACGACAAGCTCCTAGACACATGTACCTAGCCAGCTTTAGAAATGAATCTTTATGGCTTAAAGGGACATTATAGTCACCAAAACAATTTTATCTTAATGAAGAAGTTTTGGTGTCTAGATCATGCCTCTGAAGTTTCACTTCTGAAATCATTGCAATTTAGGAGTTAAGTCACGTTTGTTTCTGTTTATGCAGCCCTAGCCACACCTCCCCTTGCTGTGTTTAACATGGCTTGCATGAAACCAAAATGGTTTCATTTTCAATCACATGTAACTTACTGTAAAAGTGTTCATCTCCTGCTCTGATAATTGAACTTTAACTACATACAGGAGGCTCCTGCAACATACAGCAGGGTCTGGCAAGCTATTAACAGAGCAGGAGATAATAAATTCTACATTAAACAGAATTTGTGATAAAGGAAGTGTAAACATTAGATGGCTCCTTACAGGAAGTGCTTAGAAAGTCTGTGTAAGTCACATGCAGTGAGGTATGACTAAGGTTGCATAAACAATGTGATTTAACTACTAAATGGCAGAGAATTGAGCACTGAGACTTCGGGGGCATGATCTGCACACCATTGATTCATTAAGCTAAAGTTGTTTTGGTGTCTATAGTGTCCCTTTAACCATGATGCTAACTGCAATGAGAATGTATACTGACATGATCTCCAACATGGTTTAACATATCGATGACACATGTTTATTCAACTAATCAGCTAGACACTGCAGTTATACTTGTTTTCAAATAATTTTTCCTTACCTTTCTTAAAAGTGTGCATATTTTCCACCAGCCTTGTCTTTATATTACCATGTACGACATTGAATAGCTTGACTATGCTGTCGTGGCATTTCGAGTTTGTATGTTTCTACTAATATGCGCACCAAACGAAAGATTGTCAAAAAAAATAAATAAAAAGAATGGTACTGGTTAATACGTTGCCAAGTCCATTTTTTCATGATGGATTAAAGGCACTGTGACAGAGTCTAGGGGAGGGTAATACATGGAAGGTATTTAGGACCCAGTATCCTCCATAGCCTGTACTCCTTCACCTGCCCGAATTAGCAACTGCTGAGGCTTTAATTAGCAGGCCTCAGAGCAGAAAGAGAGGAGATACAATCTGCTGGGAGCTGGTCTGTGCAGAGCAGCACTCTTGTAAAAGTGCTAAAGGCTGGTGTGACGTATGATTATTTTGCGGGTTTGTTAGATTATTACCCTGGTTTAGTAAGGGACATTATTTGTATATGTTCAGTAAATGCTCAAATTTGAGCTAGGATTTTATTTGTAGATTTTCTTTTTTCTTTTTTTTTGCAGAATTTATGAACAAACCGCTTCTTGGTTTTTGTGCATGTAATGGTATTTATTAATTAATGACTTTACATCATAAAGAAAGCATATTTAGTGTAATGCTTTGGGGGCAGCACTAGGGGGAGTGTGTAGGAAGACATGTGCTTCTGGCAGTGACATCACAGGCCAGCCTACTTACACTGAATAAAACCAGATGGAGGAGAAAACTCTGTCCTTTTGCCTGTAACTGACTGAACCTAAGATGTAGTACCAGCTCTGACTTAACCCCAGCCAAAGGGCTGGGGCCTTGTAAGTAAAATGAACATTTAGCAATTGTAATAGCCATTTGTGTAACATTTAGTAACCTTTTGTAAGTAATTTGTTGTAGTTTTGTATTGTATCATAATTGTAGTAAATTGACATTCTGCTAGCATCTGTTTATTTGTTATAGTTATATTAAATATACATTTAATTAGTTTTGTATTGTATCATAATTGTAGTAAATTGACATTCTGCTAGCATCTGTTTATTTGTTATAGTTATATTAAATATACATTTAATATTACAACGTTTTGTGTATTTTCTATACACATATTCGACCATAATACCATGAATTATAAAAATATTAATGTTCCGTATTGCTTAATTATTATGTATTAAGAGATTAATATTCATATTTAGGTCATGACCACAACAGTGCACAATGTAAATAATCCACACTTTTTGTATAAGAGACTGCTGTCCTCTACCTTTTATCCTAGAGGACCGTGTTGCTTTGCACATGAAAGGTCACAGCACATTTAAATTGGCTCACTTATTTGCTTGATTTGCATGAGCAAGCATGGCCTTCTTAAGTACTTTTATGGCCCTGAACAAGGCCGATATCTGTACTCTGATCTTACAGGACTCCTCCACCATTAAATTGGTGCTCAATATATTACATTTTGAGTTAGGATTGGTTATGCTTTTATAAATTGGTGTGGAATGTCTAGGATCCTAACTGGACCAACAATCTTTCAAAAACCTTATACTTTTTTGTTTAATATGCATATTTCTAGCCACTTGGATGGAACAAAATGGTGGTGCCCAGATATTCAGATCTGACTTGAGGACAGAAAGATAATAAATATATTTAAAGGCAAGTATAATCACATAGATACAGTGGGCATAAGGAAAGGAGAACTGAAAAAAAAAAAAAGATAAACATGGCAGTATTCTTTCCACATTCTATGTTAATAGTAACAAAGAGAAACGCATCTTCAGCTGTGGAATTCTCAATTCCACCTATAGGTAAAGAGTGTTTCTCAGAGGAAGGCCGCAACTAAGAAAAGAGACTGAGTCATAAAATATTAAGGGGCAGCTCAGAACACGTTCCATCCCTTACACAATAGTTATATCAACGCTAGACAATCCCAGACTGTTGGGTTGGTGCTCTTGAAGGCTAGGCTATTGGGTAGGTGCTTTATGAAGATTTTTTTTTTTTTTATGTTATGCAATGTGGGAGTTATACGGTGAGATGTTCATATACACTTACTGTATAAAAAATATACACTTATTTTACAAGTAACTTTCTACTAGGTGTACGTTAATTAATAGGAACAACAAAACAATTTGCACTTGGGTGATCTGTATAATAGGATGTTATTGGGTTGATTTATCCCTTTGGGTAAAAGTGCAATCATGATTACATTCTTAGATTCTCAGGGGTTTGATCATCTGGAAATTGATTAAAATACATAGGGGCATAGCCAGGTAGAACGAAAATGCTTATCTGCAAGAAAGTCAGTTTCCTTGCCTGCAGCGTTTACAAAATGGGAACATCTTTGATAGGCAAACTTTGCGACATTGGGTATTTACATATAATTTAGTGTTGCTGCTGAATGCCAAAAAATAACTCGAGGCTATGGCATTTAATTAAACCGTGTGAGATGCTTATAACTTTCTTAATTACTTGTTCAATCAATTATTGCTCATCTAATATAAAAAGTTACTTAATTAAATACTGAACTAAGAAAAAGGAAAAATATATACCACTGTGGTTTGATGTAGGACACTGGTAGATTTTTTATTTTTTATTTTTGTATTTACTTTTTGATAAACTGCTACATGAAGAATTGGACAAAAACGATTTCACTGTTGAAAGTGTTTTCCTAATTCTAGTATATTAATTAATTTTGTGAATTACATACATGGCTATTTTTATTAACTTTTTCCCAGTCACAGTTATGAGTTGGAACTAGGGTTAGTAAGTACCATGGACGGGTTATTCATACAAGATAAAGTCACATAAATAAAAAGCATCTTCTTACCCGAATTATAAGATGGCAAGGCACCATCAATATATTCTCAACTCAATAGTTAACTTAATGAGTTTATGGACAAGCAGAAAAATAACTAAAAGTTAGCTATTAGTTGTGCTTAGCTTTTTTTTTTTTTTTTTTAATTCTTTGTCATGACAGTGTAAGCATTCAATATCATAAATGTAATAGCATAGTCAGGTAAGCCGCTCTAGATATGTCTGTACAAGGTACGGAATGGATCTGTAGACCTAGTCATGAACCAGAGTTTTCTACTTTTATAACCAGGGAAAGAACTTGGTAGAAGTGACATAAAAAAGGAAGGAGGTGCGGGGTAACAAAATTGTGAAAAACAGCATTTCTGGCATGGGAAACTTAAGATACAGCATTTCCCCAACATTGTGACAAAGTATCTCAAACTTTGTCGTTCATTTTTGCTATAACCACTGACAAATGTTTAAGCCATGTAGCAGCTAGAACCCTCTGGGCTGCAAGGGTAATACTATTCAACAGTTTTTGTTGAACTGTGGTGAGCCCCGGAATAGGATGGAAAAGCAGAAAGGTTCATTTGTTGATATTAACGGATCTACCAAAGGTATTACAAAACAACCCCTTGTTCTCTTTTCAGTAAAAGATGGTCTTAGGGCACATCCACAACATAGGAATGTGGGATTTAGCCAAAGTTGCAACACTATAGCAATGACAAAAAATAAAATAGAGAATGAGCCTTATCTGGTGAAACGCGTGCACCAGGTACTCACATTTGCTTTCATGAGTTAAAGGGACAGTCAAGACCCATAAAACACTTCCCTTTGTGTGACCAGTGTGTATACTTTTTTCATTTTACAAACAGTGCAGATTTCAATAGAAATTGGCACTTTTAGAAATTAACCTGGCTACACCCCCCCGGCTGTGAATCACATAACAAGTTACCGTATATACTCGAGTATAAGCCGACCCGAATATAAGCCGAGGCCCATAATTTTACCCCAAAAAACTGGGAAAACGTATTGACTCGAGTATAAGACTAGGGTGGGAAATGCAGCAGCTACTGGTAAATTTCTAAATAAAATTAGATCCTAAAAAAATTATATTAATTGAATATTTATTTGCAGTGTGTGTATGAGTGCAGTGTGTATGAGTGCGCAGTGTGTGTATGAGTGCAGTGTGTGTTTGTGTTGCAGAGCCTTGGTGGGGGGTGGGCATTTTTATAAAAAAAAAAACATTAATATTTTAATTTTTTTTGTTATATTATTATTTTGTTATATTATTTTTTTATTATTTATATTATTATTTATATGTATATATTATTATTTTATTATATTATTATTTTTTTATTATTTTTTTATTATTATTTATATTTATATTATTAATTTATTTATTTTTTGTCCCCCCTCCCTGCTTGATACATGGCAGGGAGGGGGGCTCTCCTTCCCTGGTGGTCCAGTGGCATTGGCAGTTCAGTGGGGGGAGGAGGGGGGCTGGCAGAGCTGTTACTTACCTCTCCTGCAGCTCCTGTCAGCTCTCTCCTCCTCCGCGCCGGTCCGTGCAGCTCTTCTGTCAGCTCACACTGTAAGTCTCGCGAGAGCCGCACTATGACCCCGCGGCTCTCGCGAGACTTACACTGGGAGCTGACCGAGGTGCTGACCGGACCGGCGCGGAGGAGGAGAGAGCTGACAGGAGCTGCAGGAGAGGTAAGTAACAGCTCTGCCAGCCCCCAGTCTGTATTATGGCAATGTAAATTAATGTAAATTGCCATAATACAGACAGTGACTCGAGTATAAGCCGAGTTGGGGTTTTTCAGCACAAAAAATGTGCCGAAAAACTCGGCTTATACTCGAGTATATACGGTATGTTACTTCCTGGTTTGGTTAGCTCAGTGGAGCTAAAGTCAAGAGGCAACAATTGCCCAAAGCACATGCCTTGCAAAGATTTATCATTGAGCTGTATTGGGGAGTCTGTTATTGGACCGCCACAGAAAGTCTGAGTGGGGTTAGAAAGAGAGGACTTGCAAAGGTTTTAGACTGTCAGGATTACCACAGAAAGAGAGCTTCCAGCTGAAGTAGAGATGGGGAGTGGAGCATGGTGAACCCCATGTAAGAGGTCAAACAGCTTTAAAATGGTTTTACTACTTACAGTGTGGGGGGCATGTTTGTGTACTACATTACTCATCATTTATCATTTACTCCATTTGAATGCCTTACCCCCCTTTAGTGTATATCTTCATTTTAATTGTCTTACCATTTTTTGCTCCATTGGTGTCTCTTGTCCCCTTTTTGTGTCTTACTTCTCTTCTGTATCTTTTACCCACATTGTGACTCTAACCGCTCTTGTGTCACTTACTCCTTCCCCTGTGTCTCTTACTCTTTCCCTTGTGTCTCTTTAGACCTACTTGTCTCTTTCCCTCCCCCTTGTGTCTTTTCCATGCGAAAGAATGCAGGGTGAGAATTTTTATGCAGACATTCTGTGAACACGTGTGTTTTTTATATTTACTTTCACAGCATAACTCACTCCATTAATACTTCAATAACTTTTTCTAGGGAGAGTAATAGTGGAACTGTTAGCTTGAAGGTAAGCGTTTCTCTTTAATACACAGTGCTCCAGAGAGCCGCCTTCATAAGATAGGGTCGCCTAGACTGTACATCCAAGTTGTGGCTTGGACATAAAATTTTAAAATGATAGAAGATTTTTCCCTGGAAAATAGGGGAGGGAGAGCGTGGCTGATGCCCAGCGTTGGGGGGTGATCCCCAGGTAGATACATGGTTGCAAATGGGCACCAGGAGATAAAAAGGGGGGAAGGGAGGAGGGGCCTTACCAGTCAGCACAGACAAGTTGAGGGATCGTGACTTTCCCACCCTCCTTCCCAGTAGTAGATTTGATTGTGTTCTGTTTCTGGTGTCGGTGTCTTTGTGTGTTCTTTTGTCACAGCTTGCGGTTCTTCCTGGCCAGCGGAGATACAAGGGATGAAAACGCCAAGGCAGCTTGGGGAGTCGCAGTCTGCCGGGAGCTGATGGCGGGAAGCAGGCTGCTCTGAACTCTTGGAGAATGGTGTAGAGCTGTCTGTTGGAGAACACCCCAACAGCTGACAGAGGAATTTGCTGGCTTGATGTTAATGGTTAAATAAAGCTGTGGCTGTTGCTCTTACCCAAATTATTCAGGTCTGGTGTGTTTTTACTTGGGGGAATCGGGGGAATAAAGTTATATGGGTTAGCAGTCATGATAAAATTATTTTAAAAAGGTAGCTTTGTTTCATCAGAAGAGGAACCTCAAAGAGTTTATGGCAATTCAAATAACTTATTGTGACAAGTGTAAGTAGCAATAAAAGCCTGGTATTTGTCCACATACCATTTAAAACAATTAAAGTAACACTCCAAGCGCCATAGCTACAACAATCTGCCGCAATAGGTATGGTGCCAGGTGTGTCCTGGAGTCCAACAAGTGTAAGTAGTGAAACTGTTTAAGAATGCTTTCAGTCAATGCAGGAATTAGAAGTAGCTTCTGGCTCTGGAGGAGGAGGAGGAGGTGGTCGGTGCCCAGAGAACAACAGGTACACTTTAAAACTGTTCATAAATGGTTTACTACTTACAGTGGGAAGGCACCGGGGCACTTCTGAGATATTACCTGCCACACTGGGCTGTAGTGGTTTTGGTACTTGCAATGTTCCATTAAATTATTTTTGGTAGTTCGGTCCAGTGGGTAGTCGTCCATCTTAATTAAGGTGGGTTTAGAATCTTTGCTACAATAGATTCAGATCAAAGAGGTTGCACTCTATAACAAGCATGTCAAACTCACGGGCTGCATGCAGCCCACAATGAACCTTTTTGTGGCCCTGTGAACTGCGAGTTTGACATGCTTAATAAAGCAGAGTAGGCAGCTGCTCTCCCCACATTGCAGGTGCCTACTCCTGTCAAAATTACCTGGCCGGGGAGGAGACGTCTATGGAGGGAGCTCAGTCTTCCTGCTCCTCACTGCTCGCGCGCGCCCTCTCTAGTGATGCCTGGTACTGGAATATGACATCATTCCGGCACCTGGCATCATTAAACTGCACGCGTGAGGGCGCAGAGGGAGAGGCCCCACACCAGCTCCCAAAGGAAGGGAGCAATAAATAAAATTATTTGTGAGTGTGTGTGTGTGTGTGTGTGTGTGTGCAAAAATGTGTGTGTTGCGATTGCCGCGGCTGGACAGTGGAGGACCTCAAGGTGCACAAAGGCACGCAACACCACGTAACATTCTGACATGACGATAACGTGGTCCACCTTCACAGGTTTTCAAGGAATAGCAGGAGGATCCGTTTGGCACAGGATACAGACGGCGCCATTTGGGGTTTACCAGAGGCTGGACTCAGGAGTTGCATACTGACAGCGGCAATGTGAGTGGAGTCTGCTAATAGTGTTTTTTTTTTGTTTTGTTTTTTACAAGGGCTGGGGTTTAGTATAGAGAAGGTTGCTGGGATTTAGTATGGGGGACTGGGATTTAGTACAAAGGTGGGGACTGCAGAGGGGGATTTTTTTTTTTTTTTATACTGTACTTTTCAAAACAAACCTACGTTTCTATGAAAACTTAAGGTTTTGTTGTTTTTTGGCGGCCCACATAAACTTAAGTCTTGTTTATATTGCCCATGCTAGCCTTTGAGTTTGACATGTTTGCAGTAGAATCTCAGACACACCCATGGATATTTGATCTTTATCAGTGAGGAGAATAGGTTGATTTTAATATGAAAAAAGTCTTGTTCTCCCAGGCCTTTGTGATACCACAAAGGAATACTGGATCAACAGACATAGACAAACAGAAATCTGTTTTCTTTAATCTGTTCACAGATACTTTTTATTTTGAGCCTGTTTAAATGACCTCATATGGCTGTATGGTAGAATTAGGCATGCAAATGTATTGTTTTTAATGATGGTCGTAAACTGAGTGTCCTAATGTGCAGATTAAAACTGGCAGATCACGTTGTGGGAGTGACTCAATTAACATTTGTTTTACCAATGTTTAAGCCTACCCAGGGCTGTCTTTAACACTGGGCTAATGGGGCAGCTGCCCTGGGCCCAGTTACTCCTGGTTAGCTCCAGAGCAGCTGCCCGCAATGTATTTGAGCCCCATGGACCCGGCAGTGCGGCTGCACACAAAGGAAGGAAGCCCATGCACTAAGGGCCACTCGGTGGGTATGTGTCAGCAGGGGCCCGGTCGGGCACTGTGCTGCTTAAGCAGCGCGACTGGGAGGAAGTGACTGCCACGAGTCACTTACTCCCACAGAGAGTCCGGATGTCTGTCTGTGTGGGTCAGTGTATGTGTCAGTATGCCTGTCAGTATATCTGTCAGTGTGTGTCTGTGTTAGTATGTCTGTCTGTTGATGTGTGTGTCAGTATGTCTGTCAGTGTGTGCGTGTCTGAGTGCGTCTGTCAGTATATATGTGTGTGTCAGTCAGTGTATCTGTCAGTGTTTGTCAGTATGTGTGTGTCAGTGTATCTGTGTGTCAGTATCTCTGTCAGCATAGGTGTCTGAGTATCTGTTTGCTGTCATTGTATACACCCCTGCATTTAACCTTCAACACTTTATACAAGCACACTCCTTCATTGAAACGACAATACATACAAAAACACCTCTGTGGTAAACACCAAAATTACATATAAACACACCCTTGCATTCAAACACCAACGCCACAAACAAACATAATCCTACATTCACGCAAACATACTGTATACAAAAAGATGCTTACCTTCAAACACACAAACACGGATCAGTGTTAAATACAATCCTGCAAGCATGGGAAAATGTAGAGCCCCAGCTGTCAAAGCATTGTTAGAGCTGCACGGCAGATGGGATCTACCTTTTGGCTACCCTTGTGATAAGAGGCACAAAAAATAATTTCACCAGGGCCCTCTCTATTTTAGTGCCATAACTGTGATGGGGTGTAGGGTGCCATCACTGTGATGGGGTGCCAGTGAGCAGGAGATGGGGACAGGGTCCAGGGGGCCCAAGCTAATGCTTGCCCAGGGTCCATTTAATATTAAAGACGGCCCTGAGCCTACCTCAGCTGAGGTCCATGACTTTTCCTCCTTGCTATCTGAAATATTTTCTCACACCAAGACAAAACTGTTATCTTAGTGCTACTCTGCCTCACTTACACCCAAGCAGAGTGCCACTAAACCTCTCTTAGAGGTGGCCAGAGGTGGGAGATGGTCATTGGTCGCCATTACCCAAAGTAGAGTTGACTGAAAGTGTTTCATTCTCCTTGTGTATTAACAAAATGGACCAATCATGTAGAAATGCATTACAAACTATTGGTAAGATGTATCTCCCTTAGTCTTGGCAACATAAAATATACCCAAAGGCGTCTCTGATTTGTTGAAGGTGTGAAGGGGACACAGACACATTATTTCACATCTGGTGGACTTGCTCCGAAGTAAAGCCACACTGGGAATAGTGCTGCTGCAGTCAGTAGGAGAGGTTCAAGTTCCCATTTCGCCTGACTATTTTCTGCTTCTGCTAGTCCCAACCAGGATCCCTGCAGAGTTACATGGTTTATTTCTACATATATTTATTGTGGCTCAGATATGCCAAGCCAGGTCATGGAAGTCAGATGATCCTCCCACTCTGATGAGTGTCATAGATGGCATTAATGAGAGCAAAACGTGGAACTCTATGGCTTCCTACCTAAACCCATCTGCTTCTTCTATAATAGCTCTATGCCATAGAAGGCAGGAATATAGTAGTACTAGATTGAGGGACTATGGAGCTTGGCTGGATTTTGTGGATTGAGGAAGACTGCAGGAGGGGAGGACGCTGATGGGTAGTGTGGGGTATTCCGCTTGTGGGCTGCCTTTGCAGGCTTTTCTTCATTTTGAGACGCATCATTCTCTTTTAATTTCCACTAAATTCTAGTGCTATGTTCTGAATCAACAATTCTATGCAGGCCAATGGGATTTACTCTCTGTGTTAAATGTTTTTTCGGGCACGTTATTTTTTTCCTTAATCTCGTGTAATAGAGTGGGAGGAATAATACATGCAATCACCATACCTTACAACATTTCAAATGGACAAATAATGACACTTTCATTTTAGGAAATGTTATGTTATCTGCTAATAACAATTTATGCAACTAAAATGTAATTTAGAACAAGAATGTATCCTATTTACATAGACTGATTTCTGAATACATTTATTGGAGTTTAAGTACATTAATCTGAGTATTATTTATCTGGAGCTGTTGTAAAAATGAAAACACACCAATATGGAACTCCTAGAGGATTGTTATGTTAGAAAAGAGGGAAATTGTGATTTTATCTTTAAGTTGTGTAGATAATTATTTTAATTCAGTTCCAGAGCAGTGTGGCAATTTCTATCCAGTTGGTACAGGACTATGTAGAAGCTATTAGTCATTGCTTTGAAATCCAACTTGAAATTAATTTGGAGATGACTTTGCAAATGAATGGAGTCTGAATTGAGCAAATATTCTCCAATTTCCTTGAAGAGTGCTGTTTTTGTTTCTCCCTCCTCCTCCCCCCCCCCCCCAACTAAGTTGGAAACAATAAATTAGAGATCAGCTAATTATCCATTATAAGTTAAAGGGACACTGTAGTCACCAAAACAACTGTAGTGTAATAAAACAGTTTTTGTGTATAGATCATGCCTCTGAAGTTTCACTGCTATTTAGGAGTTAAATCACTTTTGTTTCTGTTTATATGGCCCTAGTCACACCTGCCCTGACTGGCACAGCCTGCATGAAAACAAAATTGTTTAATTTTTAATCAGATGTAACTTACTTTAAAAGTTTTTATCTCCTGCTCTGTAAATTGAACATTAATTACACACAGGAGTGTCCTGCAGGGTCTAGCAATGTACTAACATGGCAGGAGATTAAAAAATCTAAATTAAATAGAATTTGCAATAAAGGAAGTATAAACATTAGATGACTCTTTACAGGAAGTGTTTAAGAGGGCTGTGCACGTCACATGCAGGGAGGTGTGACTAGGGTTCATAAACAAAGAGATTTAACTCCTAAATGGCAGAGGATTGAGCAGTGAGACTGTAGGGGTGTGATCTATACACCAGAACTGCTTCATTAAGATAAAGTTGTTTTGGTGACTATAGTGTCTCTTTAAAGTATAAGGTATTAGGTGACAGGTTGTAAAGAAGTAGCAGTCAATCCAATATATTCCTAGGAAACCTAAAGGAAATAATTATGGGTTAATTGGGTCCACACTAGTAGATACCATCATACCATTTTCTAAATATACCTACAGGTTTAGTGTGTTTTTATTTTATTCTTTGCTGTGGCAGGGATGACTTTTTGCCCATATTCTTTTGAGACTTCCAATAGATTTAAGATAAAGCTAATTCTCTTTTGAAAATTGAACTATATACAATTAAAGGGACACTATAGCATTAGTGAATATAAACCTGTATTCCTAATGCTATAGTGTACCACTCTTTATTTAGATTCAGTCTCCAGCCCCCTCAAACTAAATAAAACTTAAAAAAATATATATATATTTTACTTAACTTTTTTTTTCCCAGCCCAGAGATCAAGTCCCTGCAGCAGTTTAATCTGCTTCTCATAACATCAGCATTTATGCCTCTAAGAGTCCAGACATAGGCAACCTTCTGCAATCCAGCTGTTTTGGACTACACCTCCCATGATGCTTTGCCAGCATTATGGGTGTTAAAGCATTATGGGGGCTATAGTCCACAACATCTGGAGTGCCTATGCCTGGCTCTAGTCCAGTGCTTCTCATGGAGTTTGACTCGGTTCTCACAGCAGATGAGCCTCTAGTAGTTGTGTAGTAGACAGCAACTAATAACATATATTTAACCCTGCAATGTTAGCATTGCCATGTGTACTAAAAGTCAATACTTTACATTGCAGGGTTAAAATTAAAGGACCACGGCACCTAGACCATTTCATTGCCTTTAGTTGTCCTTTATGTTTTGGACTTAAAATCAGTAAGTATCTAAGGCCGTTCATACACCTTAGAATGGAGAAAGAAACATTGCATTTATACATCAGAAGATGCAATTAAACACTTGCAAGTGTGGCTACTTCCAGTTGTTTCCTTTGCCTGTCTTCCTTCACATTGGAAGTATTTACTATAGCAGTGATGGCGAACATTTTAGAGCTCGAGTGCACAAACCGCAATAAGACAAAACCTTTTTTTCTCAAAGTGCCAACACGGCAATTAAACACGACAATTATACACACTGAATGTGTATCTGTGAGTGTCAGTGTATATATGTGAGTGCCTGTGTATCTGTGAGTGTCACTCACTGACACACACCTACTCACAGAGACATACTGACAGAGAGACACACACATTAACTGACAGACACACACACATTTACTGACAGACATACACTGAGTGACTGACAGACACACACACACACACTCACTGACAGACATACACTGAGTGACTGACAGACACACACACTTACAGACACACACACACACATTAACTGAGAGACACACACTCATACACATTTCCCCCAACACTCACAAATTACTATTATTATAAATTTTAAAATTAACTCCACCCAGTCTCCGTGGGAGAACTGGAGTTGATTCCTCACCTGGGGCCAGTGGGGCTGCATGGGCTGCTTTTGCTGCTGGACAGGCAGGGATGAACTGGCAGAGTAGGTGGCGAGGGAGCTCTGATTTTCCTGCTCAGCTCCCTCGCATGCCGCTTAGTGATGCTGGGAGCCAGTCTTAAAAAATGTCCAGCTCCCGGCATCACTAAGCGGCGCACAAGGGACCCGAGCAGTAAGAGCTCAGGCTACAGTCCTCCCTCGCCGCAAGCCCGCAAATCAAGCTGCCACCTGCCTCGGGGTGCCCAGAGGTGGCCAGCCGGACAGCTCTTGGGCCCCCCAGCACATGAGGCAAACAAGGCAGTGGTGCACAAGGCAAATGCCTTGTTAGCCTTGCAGTGAATACACCGCTGGGCACCCTACCGGCGACCTATGGCTGCGTGCCCACAGAGAGGATTCGGCGTGCCAGCTGTGACACGCGTGCCATAGGTTTGCCATCACTGCGCTATAGTGGGAATTGTCAGGAAGTGAATTTAAAGGGAATTTCAAAATTCGGGACAAAAGAGCAGAAATGAAAACAGTTTTTTTTTTGGCTATTGTGGCCTAAATTTGACATGCCTTTCAATTCCTGACAATTCATACTTTAGCGCTGTGGCATAGGTTGGTGCTATATAAGTGCCAATAATAATAATCATCATAATAATAGTAAATACCCGTGTAATATATTATTCTAGTTGTGACATCACTTCACTGATAGCCTTACTTAGCGGAGTCAGGTCAGTTCCTCAGATTTCCATGATTTTGCTAAGCTCTGAATCTACTCACATACTTGCAGCCCTCAGCTCTTCTAGTCCCCGGTAGTGTAATATAAACTGGTTACTACTGCTTTGACAGCTAGTTATGCTTTTGGTGTTTAGTGTCTACTGGTAATATAACTACAATGGCAACCCCCCATATATGGTTGTTTACTAATTTACTGAATTTGTTTACAATTGAGGTTACTGTCTCTTAATTTAGAAAATGTTACTTAGCTTTAAAGTTATGATGTATCCTGTTACATATAGTTCAATAGGTCAATTTGTTTATAACATCTTCTGGAGTCTCTTTGCTCAGTAGAGTTTCTTGCATTCCTCATTGCCATAACATATACTTTTGCTTTATAATACAACAAAAATAGTTGCCAAATCCTAAAAGCATAACTAGCTGGCAAAGAAATAGTAACCAGTATATCTTACACTACCGCGGACTAGAATAGCCGAGAGCTCTATGCTAACCCCTCTCTCCCACTGCACATGGTTGAGGGATAAATAGACCTCTCGCCAAGTCCCTCTTAACTATTTGCTCCCCATTACAGGCCTAAGGTAGAGCCTCTTCCCACCTGCTCCAGTTACCACATAAAGCCCCCATTGGTAGAAAACAATGCAAATTTTATAAACTTAACTGTACCTTTAAAAAAAAAAAAAACATGTGTCTCTTCAAAGTTACATGTGGCTCCTTTTGTTATAACAAAATTAGTGCCCTCTAGTGCTCTACAAAAGAAAAACTGAAATCCTGATTTACTGATCATTTAGAGATGGCAAATATTTAGACAATTATGTGAAAACTATAATTATAAACCATGCACAAGTAAAATTACAACTTAAAATTGCCTGCGCTTTATGGTACTTGACAGGGGTTTATTCACTGAAATGTAATGAATTGAAACTGGATTGCAAAGTTTAGGTAAAAGAAGCTTATTTGGGAATATTCTCCAACTCTGCTAAAATCACAGTTTGGTTAAATTAGTTTAAATTCTGCAGTTCACTACAGCTTAGTGCAGTGGTAGGCAACCGTTGGCACTCCAGTTGTTGTGGACTACATCTCCCATAATCCTTTACAGCCATAATACTGGCGAAGCATCAAGGGAGATATCGCCCACAACATCTGATGTTCCGAAAGTTGCCTGCTTTTGATTTCGTGTTTAGTGAATTAATCCTTTTTGAGTGTCTTTTATTTTTTTAATGAATTTTTTTAATTTTACTATTTAAACTATTAAATTGATATCACGACTTGTATGTTTTTTTTTTTGTTTTTTTTTACAGCTGGTTACATGTACCACGATCCTTTGTCTTTTGGTTGTGTTTTTTTTTTTTTTTTTTTTACTTAAAATTCCCTTTCATGTGGATCCCTGTAATAATGCTGCATTATAACCAAACACACAGAAGAAAGCAGAGCATTCTCAAAGAATCACAGCTATACTTATACAAGGAACAGCAGTAATTAGATGCTATATTAATTCTGCCAAAGGTAGGAATTTATATCCTTATAGATTTGTTTTTTGTGCCACGCTTTAGTAACCCACGGTGGGTGGATTATCATTAATAGTTATTTATTTCAGTTTCATACAGCTTCCTTTTATGTTCATTGTCCAGGCTAATCTACACTTTTATTTAATACACTACTTGGTTCTACTGAATAATATGCCCCACGGCATTCAATAAACCCGAGCAGTGGAGGAGGTGAGAACGCCATTCATTTCTAACTTTGCCATAAATTTGTCTGGAAACCAGTTCAATATCAGTGCAGGGATAATATACTGTAGATCCCGCCATCCTGTTAGATTGTAAGACGTAACGGAAATGTACAACACCAAGTGGAGAATGCAAATTGACAAGAATCAGGACTGAAATGAAGATTGTCTGGGTGCTGATGTAGATCCCGTCATAACTATGAAAAATTTCTGTATTCCAAAAATATTACATATACAAATATCATATTCTTACTAAATGGATGTGCTTTTAGTTGTATAAATGTTGTGGAAATTAGAGATAAGGTGACTGATGCTTTATGAAAACTTAAAACAATCATAAACCCTTTACAAGTATATTGAATCCAATCAAGAGCACCACTAAATATCAATTTTGTCGATGTGTTTTGCTTAAACTGCAGACAAAAAAATGGTATAATGGTCAAAATATGAATCGCCTGCTTTCCTGTCCGCACGGCTCCGAGTGCCGCGATGCCCTCCGGCATTCCGTCTGATGCTGCACACTTGCGTGCAGCGTGTATATATGTGCGACTGAACAAACTGCCTAATTTGGCGTTCGCCGAACTGAACGCGGGATTCGGTAGACCGAATTCGGCGCACATAAGTGACATCAGAGGTTAGATTAGGAAGGTCAAGTACCTTCCATGAATAGTGGTCAATTCTAAGTGGAAATGGACCAATCAAAATTAAGTGATGCCTATTTATACTTGCCTCTCCCATTCCTTGTTGCCCTGTTGTGATTTTTGGTAGCCCAATAGCACGTTCCTTTCATGATATTCATGTGATATATTTCTGGCTCTTGCCTTACGTTTATCCTGTCTTCTGTACCCCTTTTGACCTTGGCTTCATTATACGGTTTTCCAGTCTTCTCTACTCCATTTGACCTCAGCTTGTCACTGACTCCACTTGTTCGTTAACCCGGCCATTCTAAGGACTGGTATACGGATTCTCTTTTAGTGATTCTGTTTGTGTGTTTAGGTTCCAGCATATCCTGACATTACAACAGGGCCATTATGGAATCTACAGACGTATCACAACAGTTGGCCATTTGTGGCGCAAGAATGGACGGAATTGATCACCACTTAGATCAATTCGCCCAGACCTTGCAGATTATCTTGGTGCGTACTTCACATTTGCAGCCAGACACACAGGACAATGCTGCTACTCATGTGGTTACTGCTCCTGAACCTGTTCCTGGTGTATCAGCACATACAGTCTGCATGACACCCCCACAAAGCTGTAGTGGGGATCCTATGTTATGTTGTGGGTTTCTTAACCAAATAGATATCCATTTGGTTATGAACCCATGTTCGTATCCCAACGACAGGTCAAAAATAGCATTTTTGATCAACCACTTGTCGGATAGAGCATTTGCTTGGGCTAATCATATGAGTCTAGTGCCTCTGTAGCATATACTTATGCTGAGTTCCTATCAGCTTTCAAGAGGACTTGTGACATGCCAGGCAGAGTTAGTTCTGCAGGTAAATCCTTGATGAGGATCAAACAAGGAAATAGGTCTGTAGCGGATTTTGCTATTGAATTCAGAACTCTAGCATCAGAGGTAGTCTGGAATAATGAATCCCTAGTGACAGCCTTTCAGGTAGGTTTAGCCGACTATATTCTAGATGAGATAGCATCTAGGGAATTACCCAGTTAACTAGAAGAGCTCATCGATTTTTGTATTGTTATAGACAATCTCATAAGGGAGAGACATTTACATAGGGAGACACAGGAGAAGCTTTTATTCCCATCCTGTTCCCAGTTTGCCTTCCCTGTGATCAGGGCCGGCGCCACCTGTAAGGCGACCTAGGCAGCCGCCTAGGGCGCAACTTAGCAGGGGGCGCCGTATCCCTGCGCCCGGCGGCTCCTCATGCTGCACCGCCTGAGCGGTTTTGCAAGCCCCAGGCGGCGCGGCATTGCTGTGTGGAGGGCGGCCAGGTTTGTGACCGGCAGGAGGGAGGCGCAGAGCGCTCCCTCCTGCCGGTCTCTCAATGTAGCGTGGGACAGGAACGTCTGTTTCCTGTACCCGGCCGCCGGCGGAATGACAGGAAGTGCTCACTGAGTGAGCACTTCCCTTCAGTCCGCCGGCGGCCGGGAACAGGAAACAGAGGTTCCTGTCCCGCGTTCCGCGCCGCCCGGCCACGCTACATAGGCAGGAGGGGGTAAGGACCATTAGGGGAGGGGTGGGGAGGGACTAAGGACCATTAGGGGTGGGGGGAGTGGGAGGGAGCAAGGACCATTAGGGGTGGAGGGGAGTGGGAGGAGGACCATTAGGGGGGGGGGAGGCGACCATTAGGGGATGGGGAGTAAGGACCATTAGGGGTGGGAGAGAAGACCATAGGGGTGGGGGGAGAGGAGCAAGGACCATTAGGGTGGGGAGAGTAAGGAACAGGGGTGGGGGGAGTAAGGACCATTAGGGGAGGGGGGGGAGGAGTAAGGACCATTAGGGAGGGGAGGGGGAGCAAGGACCATTAGGGGTGGGGGAGTAAGGACCATTAGGGGAGGGGGGAGGGGGAGGGAGCAAGGACCATTAGGGGTGGGGAGCAAGGACCATTAGGGAGGGGGAGGGGGAGGGAGTAAGGACCATGGGTGGATTGGGGGGGAGAAGACCATTAGAGGAGGGGAGAAGTGGACCATTAGGGGAGTGGGGAGGAGTAAGGACCATTAGGGAGGGGGGAAGGCGACCATTAGGGAGGGGGGGGGGAGTGGGGGAGTAAGGACCATGGGAGGGGGGGGAGTAAGGACCATTAGGGGAGTGGGGGGGAGTAAGGACCACTAAGGGGGAGAAGGACCACCAAAGGGGGGTAAGGAGGGAGGACCACTAAGGGAGGGGGAGGGTAATGACCACTGAGGGGGGGGGATTACCACTAAGGGGGTGGGGGGAGGAGGGGAAGGTCTACTAAGGGGTTTGGGAGAGGGAGGACCACTAAGGGAAGGGATGGAGGACCACTAAGGGAGAGAGGGGGGAGTGAGAAGACCACCAAGGGGGGACTGCAGAGGGACAGGGGGCCAAGGGAGAGCACTAAGGGACAGAAGGGGTAGAACACGGAGGGACAGGAGGGAAGGGGAAATCAATAATTGACTATGAAATTTTTTTTAAAAAATAAAGAGCTGTTCCCCTCTCAGTCCCTATCCTACCCCACAAACCCTCTCTTTTACACTACACACAAACACAATGCATTCCCCCCCCCTACACACACAGAAACATACAATGCATTCCTACTCACACACAGACACACCCGAAACACACAATGCATCCCTTACGCTCACACAAACACTCATTCTCTTACACACAGAAACAAAATGCATCTCTTACACAATCAATGCACCCCTTACAGACACACACTGCATTCAATTACATACACAGAAACACACCTTGCACCCCTTACACACACAGAAACATACAATGCATTCCTTACACGCAAACACACACTGCATCCCCTATAAACACACTACATCCCTTATACAAATTGGTATCCCTATACACTACATTCTATAAGAACACACACACATTGCATCCTCTACAATAACACATAAAACATCCATTACACACATACACTACACTTCCTGTGAGAGAACTCATGGGTGGGCCATGTAGGTATTTATGGGTGGGCATTGTAGGCATACTCATGGTCAAGCCCTGGGGGCCCAGACCTTGAGCTGTGTAAGGGGCCCTAAAAAATGGAGCTGCTTCCTGTTCGTTAATTGTTGTGAGCACTGTTAAAAACAGTCTCCAGAGAGCCTCTTCTACACCAGACCTGTGGAGCCAGACTGAGCCCATCATCAGCCTCTTGTCCTCATCTGGTGGTAAGTAGGCAATCCAATATATTATTAGTGGCACTAATCTCACATTAAATGGATACTATAGTCACCAGAAGCACTACAGCATAATGTAGTGGTTCTGGTGTCTATAGCCTGTGCCTGTAGGCTTTTTAATGTAAACACACTTTGTGAAGACTGGCGTTGGCCCATATGGCCATTGTGATGTTACATGGTGGGCAGGACATGGGGGGGCGGCAAATTTTTATTTGCCTAGGGCGGCAAAAATCCTTGCACCGGCCCTGCCTGTGATGCTTGCTTTACCACCACCACCACCAGCAGAACCCATGCAATTAGGTGCCACAAAGTTAATGGAGGCAGAAAAATCATACAGGTGAAAGGAGGGTTTATGTCTCTATTGCTGCAAAAAGGACACTTGAGAAGCCATCCGGAAAACTCCAGAAGATAAGGCCTAGTGAGGGGTCAGCCTTGGGTGCAATGACAATATCCCCTTCTAACATAAGAACCAGACTCACTATACCTGTCATATTATATGTCAATGATAAGACCATCACCACCAATGCCTTGATAGATTCAGGGGCTGTGGATAATTTAATGGACCAGCATTTTGCTGACATCGCTGTCTTATCTCTGATTCAAAAGGCAACAACCTTGGCCATTGAGGCCTTAGATGGTAGACCGTTAGACAAGCCACTTGTCATGCATGAAACCCAAGACATGTTTATGTCTGTGGGAGTCTGGCACAATGACCAAATAAAATTTCAGATATTGCATTCCCCTTCTTGTCCTATTGTTCTAAGTTTTACATGGTTGGTAATACACAACCCAGTTATAGATTGGGAGAGGTCTGAGATAATGTCTTGGGGACAAAAATGTTATTAAACTGTCTTACACAAGTATGTCATGTATATGCACTTAACGTACCTACTGCTTCTCCTTTATCAACTTCCATACGTCTGCAATAAGCAGATCTTGGTGAAGAGATGGTATTATAAATTGGCTATCAATGGTACTTGCAAAAGGCAATGGAGATCCCTAAATAAGGAAGTTTGAGAATACCTTTTAAGTTGACTTTTAGACCTTCGCTGTCTGATCAAGATATTCTACAGCAAGTGAGGAGTCAGCATTGTTCTAGACTGAAAAGGAACAGGCCAGGCTTTGACAGGCTGCGATGTGACTGTGGCACAAATTCAAACAGGGTTGGACCAGGCATGAGCAATGTGTGTGACAGTACAGTTAGTACATCTAGAACGGAACTGAGCCTTACAGAACTATGACATGAATGGCTGACCATTAACGACCAGGGGCTAGAAATATACTGGGAAGAGGCTAGCGGGTTTCTCAGCAATACCTTAGTTCAGGTGTAGGCATCCTTTGACACTCCAGATGCTGTGGATGACATTTCTCCTGATGCTTTGCCAGCATTATGAGTGCAAGGGCATTATGGGAGATGTAGCATGATTTTGGAAAAGACTAATCTTAAAATGTAATGAAGAACTGTTTAGGTTGAACATTGGTAGACAAACTACGATTTCACAGATATGGGGCTGAGGAAAATGTAGGGAAGGATGGGCTGCCGCTGTACATGAAGAACATGGCGTAGTTACCCAGTGGACACAGAAACTGGAATACAATCTGTCTTCAGTTCCAGTGGATTACACTACGGAACATGTGCACTACAACAGATCTATCCGTTTTTGTAAAGTAATTGATAAGAATGTGCTAGTTATCTCTGCTGTAGTCTGTACACAGATCGGTGATGAGTCTTTTGGAGCTATTCACTAAACTAGGAAGGAAGGCAACTTTTAGGCCATTAAACCTGAGCCTGAAAAATATGAGTTGGATAATTTTTTTCACCTTTGCTATTTTGGGGTAAAATTTGGCGTTTGTAATATTTCACAATTCACAGTTTAGTGAGTAGATAGACTGTCTCTATGATCAGACTGGCTGCACATTGTGGGGAATCCATTATGCATTTCACAAGCATTTGCAGTGCTACCGTTTGTCTGTTGCAGATCCCTGCATGTATGATTCTATTTTGCTCCCGGAAGCACGCATTCTCAGTGTGAGGCAGCACAGCAGCCTTTTACATCTGAATATAATGAATCTCTATATAAATATGCATAATTTGAACGTAAGGATGCAACTTAAAGGGGCAACGAAAGCACTTTCATGAGTGCATTAAAGAGTTAAAAAATATAATATGTAAAACACTTTAAGGGACACTCCACGGCCCAAATAAAAAAATCACTGTTTAATAGATATTGAAACATGCATGCATTTAATAATGTCTAAAAACAGCCTGCAAAACCTGCATATTTCTTGTCTACAGCCTTTGCAAACCCTCCCCTTCTAACCCAGTCCAGACTTTCTCTGGCTGTCCAATCACAGATTTCCAATGCAGCTCATTGAGAAGTCTTTGCATGGCAGGTACTCTGGGCAATTGTCTGCCTCTTGAGTTTAGCTCCACTGATGTACTCCAGAATGTAACAGGACCGGTTGTCTGGTTGAAAACTGGAAAGGTAGAGGGGGTGTAACAAGGCTAATTTATAAACGTGTCAATTTCTAGTAAAATCTGCACTATTTGTAAAATGGAAAAAAGAGGACATGTTTTTAAAGAAAAAAGGCTGCAACAAGCAGGAATCCCTCATTCTCATCTATAGCGTTTAATCTTATCCTATAATCCGTTGCTCAGTAGGGGATTGGCAATTCCGCTAATTATGCAGGATGAGCGGAACTGGTCAATAAACTAATAGCAGCTGTATCACAACTGCTATTTGTAAATACCCAGTCAGGGTAACAGTACATAAAAAGATATGCCGACTCCAGGTTGCAGGGTGATAACTTCAATGGTTTTTGCAAATGCTGCAGTTATATCACCTTGGGCAGAGAGACGGGGTGCAGAATATTCTTTAAACCAATAATGCAATGTTGTTGTTATGATAATTGCGATAACCATTTAAATGTTAGAAAAATATAAGGTTAATTAATAGGTCAGATGGCATACAACGTAATTTGAATAAGTCAGTATACATGTAATAGTGACTGAATTTCATCTTCTTTATATACAACATACAAAAATACATACTCCAGTATTCTACGAATAAATAGTATACAATGCATTAAAAATTAATGTTTAAAACAATACCATAAGATTACTAGTACATGCAAGGTGCATTTTGCTCAGTGCTTCGTCAGTACTTAAATTTTAAATATAGTTCCTTAAAATAATTTTTTTCTCTTCATCACTAGTCATTTCCACTATGCTGTCACATTCTGTACTGTATTGTGAGGTAGTGACTTTATTGCTACCATATGATGAAGTGAAATGGTTGCCATAACAACATTGGAACATAAACAATAGTAACTATAGACTATTAAATGGGTTTATTATGTAGAACCAAAGATAATGGTCAATTACAGAATAGATCCATGATTTAATTGTGCTGTATAAATACGTACATCCGAATGAAAATAGTATTACTTATGTATATTGATTAATTCTTATTTTATATTAGGTATAAATTTTATGCCATAATAAATACATAATACATACAATTCATATCCATCCTATTATACGATATGCACATATCACCTGCCAGGACAATAAACCAAGAATGTTAATTAAAATAGTAAAAACAGACATACATATCACACAATACAATTTTTTTAATCCATGTTGGTACCAACTTAGAAAGCATAAACATACGTAATATGCAAAAAATTATTTAAAAAAAAAAATAAGCAAAAAGAAAAAAGTATAAAAGATCCAATAATTAATATTTTTGTTTACAGAGAAAATACCTTTTAAAATGGAAGGAAAAATACAAAAATAGAAGAGAAAAAAGACGAGAATTCGGTGGAATGTAGGAAGTGATTAATAAAAATTGCATACATCGAAAATCGCTGTTCAAACCATTTCCTTCCTTGATTTTTTTTTTTTCTTTCTTTTTTTTTTTTTTAAATCAAACAGTTACATGAAATTTGTTTAAAGATACAGAATTTGTTGTAGCTTATAAAGCTGGTAGACATTGAGAATTATGTTTAAAAAATGATGTGTTCATGTAAAATTTTTTACAGTTTTGTACACATACACCATTGTACTGTGTATAAAACTGTTACTCTCTTTTTACATTGGCTAATTTTTTTCTTACTTTTTTCTGTAGTGCGTAAAAATAATCAGTTTGTCGACTGCTTTTTTTCCTTCTGATTCTTTTACCATTTATTAAATTTACAAAATAAAACAAATGATTAATATTACTAGAAAAAATGTGCATCACAATCTGAAGCATTTTTAATATGTTAAACAAAACTGAAAATAGTGAAAGATGCTAACCTGTTTCAAGAATCTCAAAACTCTGATGGTGATGGAAACATTTGTTGGAGAGAAAGGCTCACCAAAATGTAAGAGGAAAATAAAATGGTGGAAGAGGTACCCTAAATAAGGGAATAAATAGGCAAAAGTGGGCAAAATGCATACAAAGTGTCCAGTGCATTCCCAATATGTATTTAAACTCTTTAATAATGTTATGGATATGTTTCTCTCTTCCTACCAACCATCGATCCATTCATTCGTCCATCTATTCATATTAAAGGCATACTACAGGCACCTAGACCACTTCATCTCATTAAAGTGGTCTGGGTGCAGTGGCCCTGTCCCCTTAACCCTGAAGCTGAAGACATTGCAGTTTTAGAGAAACTGCAATGTTTCCATTGCCTACCAGACAGCCACTAGAGGCACTTCATGGATATTTATGGCGTTTAACTCCGTGAAATAACGCTGGACTTTCTAACGCTTTGCATGACGATGTCCAGTATCTTGCAAAGCCCCTAGGAAGCCAGTAATTCAAAGCTTTCCTATGTAAAAAAGGCCTTATGGGCACATGTTTTTTGCCATGCATGCACATTATGTTATCCCTCACGCTGACGTCAGAGGAAGTGGAGACAGAGCCATCACAAAGTGTCCTTGGCACTGGTATCAGTCAAGTGTTTAAAGGGTTTTTAACTCTTTGATTACTGGAGGGGGAGGGGAACCACAGGGGCAGAGGGACTCAATAGTGTTAGGAATATAGCTTTGTATTCCGGTCACTATAGTGTTCCTTTAAAAAAAATTTTTTTGTGTTTTTTTTATAGTAGGTCCACACTATAGTTTAGCATTATAGTTTATCCAGTTATTTAAACTATATTTTAATCAGGTTTTTCTTTCTTTAACCCATTCAATTCTTTAACCCATCCAAAATGCCTGGTATTTATCAAATCTTGGCTGCTACATAATGCAGAACTATACCATTAATGAATACTACAGGATAGTGCTGAGGTCATATATAATCTTTCTGAATAAAGGGGTGAGGGATCTGCATAGGAAATGTTATGTGTCGTTAAAGCTTTTTGGATATAGCAAACCTATTTAAGAAAAAACAAATATTGTGTCCTAATTATCACAATCCAATTAGATAAAACTACTGGCATTCCTATATTACATGCCAAAATGAGATCACGAGTTTACAAGTAAACTAAGCAAGTGTACAACATTACTGCATTTCCAGGAAATATCTCATTTTGAACAAATGCAGTATTGTTAATCACTCTTTAAAACGGGGTGCCTATATATCTATACATATATATTAAAAAAAAAAAAGACTGTCGCAACGTTCCCTTTGATGGGTGAAATTTACAAGATTTACATACACACAAAATATGACCCCAAAATGCACTTGCAGACAAGAATTAAAAAAAATTGCAGAGGGACAGTGGAACAGTGCGACAGCCATTAGGTGGCGCTACAAACCACATTTAGAGCTCTGTAGTACTCTGCCGAATGTAACCTGATGGATATTGGTAAAAGCAAAATGAAAAGAGAAAAATGCCACCCGCAGTACAAAGAAGAGCTAAAATAAATGAAGCATGTGATTGATGTGTTCGTTCAGGATCGTATCCAACACATAACCTAGTAAATCTGAGGTTATTATGAACATCATGCGGCCATTCATTTGACAAGGGAAAAAAAAAAAAAGAAGTAGAGGAAGAATTGGGGGATGGGCAAAGGTGAAAATGAGGTCTACTTAACCCTTTCAATATCTGGCGGATGTCATTGTGCTGTTTTCAACCTGCGATTCCATTGACTGCCCTGCGGGTGAGCAATGCAGGGTCCTAAAATAAGGACAATCAGTTTTTCATCATGGCATTAACCTGTTAAGGACTAAACGTTGTACTATGCCATTGTGAGAATCTAAAACAAGATAAATTTTGAATATAAATAGCATTATGTCACCGTGGAATTCCCTGTTTATGAAATTTCAGTGGCTCTATAAAACCCAGCAGTCGTTAATCGAGTGGGTCATTGTATTTTGGAATAGGATCCTTATAGAACAGATTGTTTTGATGGAATGTACTCGCCTTGGCCCTTAAGGGGTTAAATTTAAAGCATTGGCTCTTACATCACAGCAATCTGACGGTTCTGATCGATCATGGCATTAAATTAGGGTTGCAATATCACTGATTTCATTTTTTTTTTTTCCAAGCACGAATCGAGGCTGTATTTTAATATAATATACAGGAGACCATCTGCAGCCTGCATGCTTATCTTCTATAATATAAAAATACATATAATTAAATTTGCATTTTGTCCAACCACCCATTTCCCCCGACGGAACCCTGAGCTATGCATGATACATTCATATTGCTGATTATAAAGGAAAAAGAGAACCTTTTAATAAATTATATTATACTTTTGTTTGTATAGGTTTTCTAAATCACTAAGACTTAATTTCTGTTTTTTAACACATGCTATTTTTATTATTATTATTATCATCTATCCTATGTATTGATCTGTTTGTAAGATAAAATTATGATCAATGATTTGTACATTAGATCAGCAACAGAGAGGATAAAGAATTAAAAACAAATAAGTAGCCACAATTTTTAATTTTTTTAATTTTTATGTTCTTCCCATGCAGCGTTCGAGCAGAAAATGAAGAATCTGCAGTTTTTTGATGATGCTGACTCAATAAACACGTCTGTACCTATAAAGTTCAGTCTCCTGAGACAAAGCCTTGCTTAAGGACATAAGCACACATGCGTTTCTCTGTCTGTGTTATTGATTTGCATTGTACCTGTCCCAGTTTGCCTCCTAGCCAAGATTAAGCAGTCAGCAAGTTTTCTACATTGGTGTTTTTGTAGAAACTATTGGGCACTATTTGGCCTTAATACTAAAATTCACTGAACTCCCAAAACGTAAGGCATATTTAAAACATACACATTGTATAACATTCTCTATGATGCTTTACCATTCACTCAAAGAAATGGAAAGAAAGAAATGGAGAATTTATGATCCAGGAAAAACAAAATAAAAAATATTCTAAATAAAATAAAATAAAATAAAAAACAGAAAAAAAGGATATATGCTTAATGTCTTATGAATTCTCTCTCATCATATATTCCATATAACCACATGTACTGCAGATATTTTGTTGCTCTGGAAGTATTGCCTGGTAAGGTGTGTTTCTAATAATGCTAGAATCTAGGACAAAGATATCTTATGTTGTTGCTCTAAATGTTGTGAACTACTTTTCGCACAAAGCTCAACTGAGAATCAAGGTAAATGTAGTTCACATCTGGGATAGCAAGGTTAGACACTTTATGCCTGAAAAAAGGAAACCTTTTTCAAATGAACTACCTTGACTGATGGGTAGATTTCTCTCCTGCAGAATATTCAATGGTCAGTTTAGGTACCATAACCACTACAGTGCTCTGTTACTATGCTCTACCATTAATTCACGGTAAGTAGTCAAACTGTTTTTGAATGGTTTGACACTTACCTGGGTTTCGCAGGTACCTCCAGTCTGTCCTCATTTTGTATCTAAAGTTCCCTGTCCACAATAAATATATACATTTTCGCTTTATTTGGACCAAATGTTTTTGGCTATGATAGTCAACCAATGAATACCATGCGTACATGAACAAAGCTGATGTCACTAATTTATAAGTTGGAACTTCCGCAATAGTGATCTCAGAAAAGGATGCAGGATGCTGTAGTGATTATGTTGTCTAGACTGTCAATTTAATGGTACACATTAAAGGCCTGGACTTTTTCCCATGCTGCTCATCTTCATGAAGACATTATGCTCCAAGAAAGCATAGTTGGTGGTCCAGGTACATACAATGGTATTACAAATCTAGGATAGAGGTTTGGGTTACCACACTACCCAAACAAACTTCAGTCACAAGTGAAAATTTATTGTAGTCATGCTAGAACCCACCAGTGAAGCTCCAACAGTGAAATTCAGAAAGAGGGCTAAAAATGAGGTCAGTGTACCATACAGTGATATCAAATTTATTGAAGGAACAAGAAATACAGGCAAACATTTTAGATGCAATCCTTCTTCAATGCATCTTGTCCAAGATATGCCTGAAACGTTAGTCAATATTTCTTGTTCTTTCAATAAATTAGTGGTAACACTGTATGGTGGTGGTGCTGTCCTCATTTTTTGCATTTTAGCATTCACTCTACATACAATGGTACATCTCTAGGCTCGCCAGTGACAACGTGTCCTCATGGGCCTGCAAACCTGTTTCGATTCCATACCGCTCGATGTTGGGATAATTTAGTGGATTTGCTTGTGACAAGTCTGTATAGCCGCACTTCAAAGTAACTAAAGCCAGGAGACTGACAGACCAAGAGTTTTTTTTTCCAAATTTTCTTCCCTTAACCCCTTAAGGACACAACTTCAGAAATAAAATGGAATCGTGACGGAATATTTCCGTCATATGTCCTTAAGGGGTGAAGCATGGCTTATCACGATAAAGGAACACTATCGATACATGTTTTTCAATATCTTAATATAATCTTGTTATATTATACCATCTCATTAATTCTTTTTAATTCACGTATATTAAATTTTTTGAAGAAATCACTTACCTATCTTTTTCACTCCCCTTTCTGACAGCCATCTTGATACAATGATCAGTATTTTGCATCTGTTCGACATTTTTACAAATAAAAAGACAATGCTGCAGAGAGAAAGAGCACGCAGTTTTGAAATGCAGCTGGCGGTTGCAAAATTATGATGATTTGGTCAGAAAACTGACAATCCGACCAAATTCACATAGAGATGACTGGGGAAAGTGGGATTGGCAAGTGATTTTTTCCAAAAATTACAATATGTATGAATTAAAAAAAATAATGTAATATTATATTATAAAAATGATGACATTGTTTCGTAAAGTAAAACAAAAATGTTGCCTGTGTGGTTTACTTTGTGTCAGGTCCGTTCAGGCATCTTTATACATACCATTGAAATACAAAAGCAGACAAACTTGAGCATACTTAGTGTCAGAAATAGGGCCATTATTTATGCATCTCTCCCAGTGTGCATTATTTATCAGTTCATCACAAGTAATAAGTGGGATTTTTTCTCTGAGTCACTACGGTGGAGAAATGACAAGAGATGGAATCTATCAATGTGTACAAGATCAGCGTATGATGGGGATGCAATGTTCTGATTGGCAGGTGCAATGCTAGGGAACACCAATCCCAGGGCAGACAGACAAACACTTTGCAGAGTGATGCAAGTAGAAATAGCTGGACCACATTTCAACATTTTTCTACCTCTCTGTTTAGTGCAATGGCATGTTTGCTGCTAATATAACATAGTTACACTATTCCTATAAAGATAGAATCACCCTATCATTTATGTACGTGTTATATGACAGTGCCATGCTGTCTTAGGGACCTAATCATTAGCAGTACTTGGGCATACATATATCAGTCTGCCTGTAGATTAAGAGAAGCTACATTCTCGACTGCCACATGCCACCGTTTTAATCACGGCAGCTGGAACTAACTCTAATATCGGGTAGCTTTGCACTTGATTCCTTTTTTTGCCAGAGAATCCACTCTGTCCAACAAATATGTCATGTCATAAAATGCACAGCCACATTTTGTTCTCTAAACTCTAAATTGCCCGAAAAATTCCGCTACATTCAAGTGGACTAAATAAAGAGCACAGAAGACTCCAATTCTCTGTTTTCACTGTAGATTCAAGATTGTGCTGTAAGTAAACATACAAGCATACAACATAAAATAGTATATCCACACAAACACAAAATGCACATTAGCCATAAAAGCATGATCATTAGACTTGGAGATTTGTTTTGTTATGAACTGGAATTTGACAGAAATTTGAGCAAACCGAATGAGCGCCCAATGTAGGAACCACCCTATAGACTAATCACAAAACAAATAACTTGCACAATTAATTATTTTGTTTATTTGATTCGTGATTCGGAGATCTACCTGTGGCACCAAAAAAACAATGAAAAGATGATTGATGGGAAAAGAGATGATTAACTCCTTAAGGACCAAACTTCTGGAATAAAAGGGAATCATGACATGTCACACATGTCATGTGTCCTTAATGGGTTAATGGCTAGGGCACTGACACTTAATGTTGATTTTATTTACGGATTAAGTGAGAAGTGACCCAATAAAGGGAAAAAAGGAGAAGCAGTGAAATTATTTATATCTAATAATAAATTTAATAATGATATATAAATAAAGATGCATTATTGCACATCTTCTTTTTCCCTATATTGGTTCATTTTTCTCACTTCCTTCATCTGTTAATCAAATGGTGGGAACATGCGCTCATCACAAATATGTACAAAATATCAGTGCAGTACAATGATTGGCCCATTTTGTTTTGTGTGCTTCATTTTCTCGACTTTTTCAACAGACAAAATTTTCACAGATGCACGAATTTCTGCTATACCGAATTTTTTATTTTTTTATTTTTGGTCCAGGTGGCTCGACTTAAACTAATTCTTCCACCAATTTTTGGTCTAATGATCACCAATACATGCAAACATCAAAATGAATTATAATGATCAATGCATTTCCATGTCCCCCAAAAATATAACCTATATACAGTCATGTCATAGACAAGTAAGAATCAAATGAAAGGACATTTTATGGGTACAGGTTAGCTGATGCTGTGAATGTAGCAGATGACGCTATGTTGTACAGCCATCAAAGTCACATAAATTATACACCTTTACCTACCCTATCACAAAAGAATTAAAGTCTTATTGTGATATATGAATCTACACTTTCTACAGCACCAGGCAACACCTGCTGGCCAGAACTAGTATTGCAGCCTCTATGTACCTTTAGGGGTATGTGTATAATACGTAGTATACATGAGTCTACTGAAGTTCCCCACAGCAGTCCAGCTCATAATAATCTATTTAAGCTGCAGTATTTAAAAAAAAAAAATATTATTATAAATGCAATATAGAGATTTTTTTTATAGAGCTGTCAGTTCTTATTGAAGGAATTAAATATTATTAATGGCCCAGATCTAAGAGAAACGTTTGTTAATTTAGAATGTTGTGAAGATGCGCTTTTAATCTGCAGTGCTTTGGAATGTTGTCTATGATATGGACTGCAATACTGTAGCAGGTAACATGTAGACTCAGTCCTATTCAAACCTGTGGAGACTCTATTAGAGTTGGTTATGGTTGTCCCGCTCATATAGTGTCAAACTACTCTTAATCTCACTTTCTTAATGCTGGTTATTGAGCATCTGCACACAGTGCCCTTGAGTTAGAAATTGCATTGAAGCTGTTAGGTTACATTTACCGTCAATAAACGTGTACTATACTACGAGATGAGAGCTACAGCAAACTAGTTCATAGGCAGTTATGATCATCTGCTTCCAGTGACATCATTGTGGAAAGTCAAAGCTTCCTTCTTAGGTTAGCAGAGACCAATGGTTGTCTAATTATAAAAAAAAACACCCACATGCACACACATACACACAGCGTTTACTGCAAAACAAAAGGTTTAACATAAAACATGTACACATAGAACAACACTATGACGTATGATTAAGTGACCTTTACCCTGAAACATGCAAAAGTTATACTTCATAGGCATGTGCATGGGAAAAATTTTTGGTTCGGTTCGGCATTCTGAAATTCGAGACTTCGGCAATTCGGCACTTCGACACTTCGGAACTTCGGCAACTTTGGAACTTTGGCACTTCGGAACTTCGGCAATTTGACGCTTCGGAAATTCGGTAATTTCGGAACCTCAGCACTTCGGCACTTCGGAACTTTGACACTTCGGGACTTCAGCAATTCGGCACTTCGGCAACTTCGGCACTTCGGAACTTTGACACTTCGGGACTTCGGAATTTCGTAACATCTCTTGCAGCCGCTTGGTAGATAACTCCCTAATTCCCACGGTATTAGGGAGTTATGTACCAAAAGGCTGAAAGACCTAAATTGGTCTTTCAGCCAAATTTACTTTGGCACTAATACTTAGTAAAAATTAAAAATTACTTAGTATTAGTAAATTGTGCCCCTACTCG